AGTCACCCAGCTGGCTTTCATGCCTAAGGTGGGACTAGAACTCGCCCTCTTCTGGTTTCTAGCCTGGTGCCTTCACCACTAGACCAAACTGGCGCTCAGAAAAGTTTAAATTCAATTTTAAAATCTTAGTTGGACCTTGCATTTTATATGTAGGGAAAATGTGAACACCCACTAGACCATAACCTCCTGGCCAGTATGTCCACATGCTTTTAAACTAATTTAGTTAAAATATTTGTATCCTCCTTTTTAAACTTAAGACAGCCCTCAAACTGTTGCACTGTTAAAAATCAAAACTCACTGTCATTTTTCACACTTTACATTTTTAGCTGTAGGTTCAGGAATTACAGATCATCTGCATCTAATTAATGCATGTGTGAAGTGGCCTGTTGTAATTTATGGCTGCAGGACTCAAAATGAGAATGTTTGCTCCTATCCTGCCTACCAGCAGATCCCATTGTATGGGATCTGGGAAAGCAAGAAATCAAATCCACGCTACTCTCTCTTCCCTGCCAGCTAACATATAGGTCTCCAGTGGGCTTAGCCCATTTCTTGAAGGGGACATTTTATGGTTTGGCATGGGAGCAATAATAATCCCATGGACCTGAAACCTCTCATGTGAGCAAGCAGCGTCTCCTCTATCAGTGGGCAGTTATCAGCCTGACTCAGAGATCTGGCGTAGGCTTTCTGTGCATCCTCAAGGTCTCTCCGGAGTAAGCGCGCTTCTCCAAGAAGACTCTCCCCACCCACCTGTCCACTGACACCCAGCTCTGCACCTCTTGGTGAGATTACAGGAAGGCAAAATCAAGGACTCTCCTGATTTGCAGGGCAAGGAGGGGAGGCATAGATGAAAACACAAAGAAGAAAGAAATGTGAAAGAGCGTCTGCATACTGCTGGAGCGGGGGCAGGGGGGGACATGAGGATTCTTAGATCCTTGGTTTCCCTGTCACCTTAATTGTTTTGCTGTGTCTTCTGCTTGCAACCCATAAATCCTCCGCCACCCTTCCCCTGCCCCATCCCACTCAGCATTTCCTTGCTGACCCCGACCCCCAACTTCTTACCCTGTCGCTTCCCAGGCTCAGCATAGCTGATGTTAGCGTTACACAGGTCAGAGCGGCACCTACAGGACAAGGTGATGGCCGTGGAAGAGCGAAACTCACAAGCTGAAGAATCACAGGCTTCCTTTTCACTAATCCAGCAACCTGGGTGGGGTGGGGTGGGGTGGAGAAGGAAGTGAGGAGAGGACGGAATTCAGGAGGACAACGTTCATGAGAACTTCTCTACAAGGACTAAAAACTTGCCCTAGTAAGGAAAAGAATGCATGGGATTTGATGTGTTTTTTTCCTGAATCCCAATTTCTTAATTTATTCAGCCTTCTGATTGTTGAAACATGTTGGTAGAGAGTAACAATACCCTCATGTCCTCCCCAAATGTTATTATTTAATAATTCATAACCCTTCTTTATTCATTGCCACCTTTTATTTCATTCTTCACTGTAGTTGCAGGAAGCACTGTGTTTGTAACATTACAGTATTTTTCATGAGAAGTTAAAGATACTTTTAATTTGTCACAGGCACTCTCAGGACCTCAAGATCAGAGGACTGTCCAAATCTTAAGCCTTGCATGAAATATGCACACAGGAACATATTTGTTTAGGAAGGGGACTGGGGCAAAGAGGATTGGCTGTGGCCCATCCTTTTATTGCAAAAACATACATACCTACATATATTTTGGAGAGCCAGTTTGGTGTCATGGTGAAGGCACCAGGCTAGAAACTGGGAGACCGTGAGTTCTAGCCCTGCCTTAAGCACAAAGCCAGCTGGAGGACCTTGGGCCAGTCCCTCTCTCTCAGCCCCAGGAAGCAGGCAAGGGCAAGCCACTTCTGAAAAACCTTGCCGAGAAAACTGCAGGGACTGATCCAGGCAGTTGCCAGGAGTCAACCATGACTCAAAGGCACAAATACACATACATTTTACTGGCCTCAAATGCCACTGCAATCATGCCTGACTCTTGAGTGGATTACAGATCTCCAAAGCAGCAATAAGAAGTATACATAAACAGCAAAATAATAAAATAACAATCTAATAAATTACATACCATATCCCTAATGTTATAATTAGGAAACTGCCAGCCAAGATTATGCAAAGTTATAGACAGTCATATTATCATTCCCACTTTTGAGTTTCTGGAACACAATAGGCTACAAATCTACCTTAAAAATATAATTCCTAGTTCAATATGCCCCCCCCCCCAACAAAAAATTCAGAATCTTTGGGAGCTTCCTGTGAAAGTATGAGATGTACAATTGCTGTACCTCATTCATGGAAGTTTATGGCAGAGAGGCCCAGACAGCAGCTTCATCTGCTACTTTGTTACTTTCCTGTGTTTTCCCACTGCTTCTTGCACATTTATCCTTTCCGTTAAGGAGGATAAAATTGAACAATGCACAATCCTCTTATGACTGTACCTCCCCTCTCCACGTCTGGAAGTGTCCCTTAGCTTATTCCACTGTCAGAAGTATGGAAAAAGCCACATTAATGCCACAGTCCCATGGGAGGGGGGAAATACCATAGATGCAGGATGCTGGTGGCCCAGCCTCACATTAAAACAAATCCCTCAGACCCCATGCCACATCCCATTAAAAAATGGATAGGATTGGACTGTATTTCTTACTACAACTATGTTGTAGTTGATGCATTACTGTATTTTCATTCAACAGGCAGAATACTGAGGCTGAAAGAGAGAGAGAGAGAGAGAAAGAAATATACTCAAGGCCACTTCGGGGAGTTCATGGCTCTGCCAGAATTTGAGCTTAGCTGTCTGGGTTGAACCAAGAATCAGCTGCAAATGGTAAAGTTTAAGATCTGGTTTCCACAATTCATTCCTCCCCCCTCCCCCAAAGTCATCCTCTTGGAATCTGGGATCCTTCCCAAATATGTAGAAAAAATAGAAGGTGGGAGCACGGCGTACGCCACCTTGAGCTCCTGAATGAAAGCCAGGATATAAATCTAATAAATAAATCAAAAGATCAGCCTTCCACCATGCGGTCATATCCATATGCATTGGATCGTGATATTAGTCATCCCAACTGAGACTGATCTGGCTGGCAATGATGGGAGTTATAGTCCCAACACTCCAGGCCACAAAATAATAGATTTTGCTTATTGACCCAGAGCCCGTGTGCTAGTGCCTGATTCTTCCTCTGTGCTTGGAGACCACACTATATGTTTGTACGAGAGAGATTTCTATCAGACGTTGGCGGTTTGCCCCAAAACAATGCTCTGGGAGAAGCCTCATACCAAGAAGAATCACTCAGTGGAACATCGACAGACGTTTTCCAGCCGAAGATGCCTTGCTCTCCCATTCCTCTTCACATGACCTTGACCTCGGTCAGTATCCCTGCTTCCAAGCCAGATGCTCTCCTTAAGCCCTCTGCTTCTCTCAAGGCAATGGCATTGTGTGGAGTCAGACTTAGAGATCCTTGGGGGAATCCTAGCCTAATTGGTGAAAGGAATCCTATGGTGGAAAGTAGAGTGTGGGTCTTGAAATGGGAAGGTCAGCAAATGCTGGGCTCTCCCCCTTGAGCCTCTGGTAGCCCAGGGTAAGTGGGGCTGCTAGACAAAGAAGGCAGGAGCTGGTGTTTTTGCTACACACTTGCATAGTGTGCACTCTGGCCTTATCTTCCTTGCTGCTCTCCATGGTAACTGCAGCTCCCGGGAGGGCTTCAGCATGGAGAACAGAGGAAGCAGTGGCTATCTCTGTAAGAAGAGCCCATTTGCAGCCTTTTCTCAGGCAGGGTTGGGGCCAAAAATAGACTGGAATGTACTGCGCAGAGATCTCGATGACTTGCAGGAGATGTGCAAGCGGTTTGGTTTTCAGTTTAACTCAAAATCTTTCCCTGGTTGCTGAAATGAAGAGAACTTCTTGGCGG